GCGTTTAATATAGAAAAAAAGAAAACATATATATATTTTTAACCAATCAGAATCAATTACACAAAAAATAGCCAATCGGAATTGATTATATAAGCATCAAAAATTGGCGCCTCTATGTATAGATTGGATGTCTTTTACTGTCCTGTACTGTATAAATAAAAATTATTATGAATCCTTTTGAGTAAATCATATAAAATTTTTATTATACAGTTAGCTCTTATGACCAGCTTTTTATTGAATATATATCTATTCAAAAATAAAAAAAAATTTCAAAAATTTGCTGTTTTAAAACGTAATATCCCATATCTATTATAATTAAAAGTTAATGTTTGTCAACACTTAAACTAGTAAAAAAACACCTATCAATTATATTATTTTAACAAATAATTTATTTTTGTGCTTGGATATATACTAAATCACGCTCATTGATAAGTTCTAATTACTTACATTATTCAGAGCACTGACTATTCAATATCACTTTTTTTTGCTAATATGTATATATATATATATATATATATATATATATATGAATATATATATAGCTTTAGTCTTAAATATTGCAATTGATAACGGAAAGTGGCCTAACAAGTAACGAATAGATGTCGAAAAGAGTAAAAATGCCACCAAACAGATAAACACATGGTAATAGTATACAAACGTGATAAAAATGATTGAATTTGTTTTCTAAAACAGTTTAAGAAAGAACTAGTAATTATATAAACACTACAAGTCACATTATAGGAAAATATTTCCTAAGTGGTTTATTGAATGGATCCTTTCATATTCCAAGATACATCTAAAATTGCACAGTAAAAATGAGAATACGAATAAATATTCAATTTGAATAGGAATTAAATCAAATAACGCACCCATAGTTCTCATCAGCATTTGCTATGTATAGTCCGTCTGTATCCGGAGTAAAAGTGACACCCGCAATTTCGCCGAACAAATCAATTACTTGAGATCGATCAAAAGTGTGTGCATCGAATATATGAACGAAGTCAGCCGGTTCTAAAACAAAGTTCCAAAGTTATTTAAGTTTCTAATTCGAGAAGAACACAAAATGGACACAAACCTGCCATGGCTAAATACCGTCCATCTTCAGAAAAATGAAGTGACCTCACGGCACCTATTCTTGCACCCAGTACGTTGAACGCTTTGGACAAATTTCTCATATCGTACAACCTAAGAATAAGCACAGCAACATGATATACCTATATTCTAATAGTATTATTATAGTCACTATTACATTTAATTGCCTACCTGGTTGTTTTATCTGTATAATACACATATACAACGTTAAATCATTGAAGTAATTATACATCATGTTATTACATTCCAGTATTATGTACCTTGATTTCCTGTTGCGATAACCCGTCCATCTGGACTCCAACAGCATGCAAAAGAATAGTCAATGTGACCTTTAAGAGTCGCAATATCTGCAACAACGAAAGTGCATTAAATTTTACGTATATCTTATAAAAAAAAAAATAATAATAATAAAATAGAGATACGTACTTTTTCCTGAGTCAGCACTTGCAACAACAGTGTCAGTATCATCGCCAACAACACACAATAAATTTTTGTCTGGACTCACTGCTGTACACTGTGAATTTCACATGAAATTGTAAATAAATATTGAAGCTTCATTATTTAAGGGGAAATATTCACAGATATATACATTGACTGGCCATTGAAAGTCATAAGTGTCAATAAACTTCAATGTTGCAAGATCCATGATTCGAGATTTTTTATCATTGCTTGATATCACTGCAACAATGCCTAATAAATAGAAAAATATACTATTTAAGTAAAAGTAATAGAATAGAAACAAATAATATATACGACTGACCTCCTGTTCGTGATTCAATGATATCCATATGATTTGTTATCCCATTGGAATCTGTGGTTATTGTGCCAAAATGGATAGGATCTGCATCAAGCCTTCGACACGCATATTCACCATATAATCCTGAAAATATTCAAGACAATTAATAATGCACTACCTCTTTAATATAAATTTTGTATTACAAGTAAATCTCCAAACATACCCCCAACAAGTAAATAATTATCCTTGCAAGCAATTGTGCTAATTTCGAAGGGAGTCTCTGCGTTACGACTGTTATAATTCAAATCCAATGCTACTTTGGATTTTTTCATTATTGAATTCCAGTATCCAATACGTGAAGAATCTAATAGCAACATTACATTTAGAAAATTGTGCCAATTAAAAAGGTATCTCGAATATCCGAAGAGCAATAACTCACATGTATAAAACACGTCATTTCTTCCGGTTGCCCACAATAAATTCCGCAGCTGAAAATGTACAATAGAACATTTATGCGAAAGCGTGGTGTATTTGAACTTATAAAATTGAGAATCTGTTCGAACAGGTTTAATTTCCTAAGATAGAAATCGTATATATTATGTTAATGACTTTCCAAAAATAGCGTGTAAAAAGAAGAAATGTTCAAACCTTTTTGATTTCGTCATGCGATCTTTGAACATTCTCATAGTTTTTGTAGTCTATAAGTCTGAATAAATACCAATTTTGGTTAAGTATTATTAATTCACTGCGACAGCTTATGAAAAACAAAAATAAGACACAGACCGTAATTCACGATATCGCTGACGAGTAACGTTGAAGGAATCCCATGTAATTCCTTGCTTTTGTTCAAAAAAAAATTTTTTTTAAAATTGTACATAATCTCTATTAAATAATGGAATATTGTGACAAATCATAACTACTTTACCACATCCATCCCATTTTCTGCGTCTTGTGAAGTCACTTCACGGAGCTAACATAATTAAGATTAAAAAAAATTTTCATTAAAAATTCTATCATTTAACAAGACAAAAAAGCAAATACTAACCCAAAACCAGGAAGGCCTTCGTTCGGAGGGACCATGTTCTGAGCCTATTCAAAGAGAAAATTTTAGAATTATCGAGAAGGTTTTTGTCCTTTTTCTCGTGATAACTTACAGGGCCATTCAACATCCAACTCCTCCATGTACTCGCTCATAGTAATGTCATCGTCCAGTAAATCAGACATTTTTGTTTCTTTTATTGTTGAAGCGTCCGGAAAAGAGTTTTGCTTTTTAGATCTCTAGATCGTAGCTTCGGGTTAATGATTTCCGAATTGATTAGTGCGCCTTACTTGAAAATCACATATAAATGTTTCTCTCAATATATATTTTATATTAAAATTCAGTGTTTTCGTCTGGAAAGTCTGGAGCAATAACGATAATATTCGATTTTAGTGTCTTTTATATACTGCAGAATTACTAGTCATGTGAATTATCTCATTTAAGCATCGATCACCTAAGCCCTACCGCGAATTTTCTATGATCACGTGAAAGATCGATCTATTGGAGCTACCAGTGAGACCGTGAAAGATCGACAATATGCACCAATCAGATGATCTGCACTAATTAAACAATCGAATTTTTAAAGTAATAAAAACCTACGTTAGGGTTGGGGTTGTGACTGAAATTATGGCTTATCTTATACTAAAATTTTACGGAGAATTTTTTTTGTTAGTGCGCAGTAGGTGGTTTCATAGAGAGGCGATTGTTAGAAAAGATCTGATTGGTGCATCTGCGACGATCTTTCACGGTCTCACTGGGGTAGCTATCAAAAGGCATCGATATCTCCAGTGGTATCCAATGGAGCTGCGAATGGTGTCAATGGATACTATATAGTTTTTTGTGCATCATGGGCTCCATTGTCAACCTAGCCCCCCGTGTTGGCAATTTTTTCAATAGATGCTAGTCTTTTGAGCATCATGGGCTCCAATTTAACTACTGGTCGTAAGCAAACAAATGGTTTGCTCCAAATATACAATTTCAAGAAAATACTCAAAGTGTAACCAATACAAGAAAGAATCCTCCCTCTATTAGTATTTCATAACCCTAATTATATACTATCTATTAGGCTCTAATTAGCTATTATGCAAAAATGTTAAGTACGTATGATCTAACTCTAAAATGTCGGAATGATCGTCAAAGTTTAACATAGTAGCAAAACATTCATTTTTGATACTTTTATATCTACTTTTTGATACACCTAAACATATTCTAAGATTTTTGTACTATTTACTAACTTTTACTATAAACTATGTGCAATTTTATTGGTTAATTTTAGGGTATGTTTAGATGTATCAAAAAAGTAGGTGTAGAAGTATCAAAAATGAATGGTTTGCAGCATAGTAATTACTTTGATCATTACCTAATAAGCTATTATAAAGTTACGCAAGAGAAAGTATAATGTTAATTTGTTACGTACGTACGTACGTACGCAATTTTTCCATAACACCAACCTAGCCCCCCGTGTTTGCGATTTTTGGCCTTTAGCTGGCCAATTAGCCAACCCTCAATGGGTTATCAGAAATGGCAGGTTATCAGGTTTAATTCAATTTTTTATCGGATATAACAGGTTATCGGTTTTGACAGGATCGGTTTTGGGAGGATATACTGTATAGGCCATACAAAATTAATTTTTTGAAATGACCCGGCCGGCCGGCTTTTTTTTACAGCTGTTTTCTTAGGGACATCTGGCAAAAAATTGACCGACCGAATATTTGCCGATTCGATAAGTTAAACTTATCGGTCGGTCAATTTTTTGTCAGATGTCCCAGAACAGCTGAAAAAATTTTTTTTGAAACCCCACCCGGCTATTAAAACATATTACAGTAAAATTTTTCTTCAAAAGTTTTCAAAATTTGACCCGGCCGGGTTATGATTAGCTTTGTATAGCCTTAGTGCTGAAATTTTAAAGTTGTATAAATTTTTTCTAATAAAATTTAAACTAAATACATAGTTTAATAGATCTTATCAAAAGCTACCCAAATATATATAGTTTTTTTGTAATTAAACTTTTAGATAAAAAGTTTTTGCAAATTTAAGTTTATAATAAAATATTTGATGCGACTAAGCTGTTCGCACCATATATCGAGGTGTAACTGTCGATTTTAAATAGGTATATAACTAGGCATCCAACCTTATAGAATGTTCTAGAATTGATATCTACCTTTGTAAATTGTCACGAGACCTGTAAGTCCAAAAATTTAACAATGAAAAGAATGGAAACAAATACTGTGTTCCGTTAGTAAACATTATTATTCGTCCGTTTAGTAACTTTAGCGGAATATTAGCGTTAGATTATTTCTATCGGAATTTAGTTACGTACATTTAATAAAATATTAAATTGATCTTTGTCTCAATAAAACAAGGAAATGGGTAAAAAGAAGAGTAAGAGACAAGTCCGGCCTTGGTGCTGGTATGTTTTTAAGAAATACGATGTTATTAAGCGTTTAAAAACAAACAAAAAAAAAAAAAAACACTAAGTCACTAACTTTAGGTATTGTGAGCGAGATTTTGAAGATGAAAAAGTATTAATCCAACACCAGAAAGCGAAACATTTTAAATGTCCTCACTGTAATAAAAAGTTGAACACAGCCGGTGGAATGGTTGTTCATGTCGCACAGGTGCATAAAGAAACTATAGACACGTAAGGATATTTAAATAAGCAGTTTTTGATTATTATCAATCAAAATCATGTAATTGAGAAAGTTTGCATAGAAATATATATTTATCGCATAATTAACGTTATTCTTTGGTTTTTTTTTTTTTAGAGTCCCTAATGCAATGAAAGGTCGAGAATCCACTGATGTGGAAATTTTCGGTATGGAAGGAATTCCACATTCAGATATGCTAGCTCATGTGCAAGCGCTTGAAAGTGGACAACCCTCAAAGAAAATCAAGACAGAGGACCCAGTTGAAATTTCAAGCGAGGAGCTTAAAAAGCAACTTGCGCAACATCAGGCCATGATGCAGGGTAATCCTCAAGGTGCATATTCTTTTTCGCCTGGATATACTATTCCTCAACAACAAAGCTTGTCATCGTTGATGCCTCACCAGTATAGCCAATTTTATCAAAGACCTATATTAAATCAAGCACCGTATCCACAACCCGGTCTTTTCCGACCAAAGTAAAACATTAAAATTATACATTTATTTTATGATGTATGAACAGACTGATGACCGTTTTTTGTCTCTGTTTTAGTGCGTTGACAGGACAAACAGTACCTCCCGTTCCTGGCCAGCCATGGCGTCCTACCGGTACATCTGCACCATTACTTGGAACTACACAACCGTTTTTTGGTGCAACGTCTTCTAACAACAGTCAATCATCAATATTTCCACCTCGTCCCGCTAATACCGGCGCACCTGCATCTTCGTTGTATCAAGCTCAATTAATCCCTACATCTGGTCAGCAGTATCCGCCTTACAACAATGGTCAATCAGCAAATTCTTTAACACAGTATCAGCAAACATTGCCCAATTCTGCTGTCATTCCATCTGTGGGTGAAAGTGGAACTCAAGTTGATAGTATGGGCGATCAATCTATTACACAGCAATCTACGCAAAAATCACAGCAAAAAGTAACATTGATTTATAGCGATAATGAAATTTCGATGGTATGTATCTGTTTGTTTGATTTATATATTTTTATTTAATAGCGTTTTACTAGTTCTAACTAAAGTTCTTTATTATTTATTGGAATAATAGGAAGAAAAAAGAGCGGAGCATTTAAAAAGAGCGGAAGAAGAAAAGAATCGGTCTAATGAGGATAATCACAGACAGCAGGTGCATGCTCACGATCTATCTGTCCAATCTCGTATTGCAAATATCAAAGGGAGGGTTATGTGATAGGATGGTAGTGTTTTTTTTTTTAGACAAGGTCTTACACAATTTATATATGTCAGCCTTCATTGTTTTAGATTGACTTCATGTGTTGGGCAGGATTATCTGGTAAGGAAATAAAATCCGGTAAGCGCAGACAACAAATTAAATTGCCGCTTATTGTGATATATAAACCG